ATATTAACGTTTCTAAATGTTACCTATTCTTTGCCTTTGTTAAAATCTGTAAGTGAAATAGCAATACATAATAAACCCAGATCATTAAGTCTGTACTTGAGTTATCTATAAATCAAGATCCTAGTTTCTATCCAGAATTTACACACTTTAAAAATCTTCAAAACCTTTAAGAAAGTCTCAATTTTGAAAAAAAACAACTTATACGATCACTTCTATCTCCAGACTGCTCAAATAAACTAAATAAAATACTGTATTATTTACAAAGTAATTAGAAAATTAAGTTCCTACAGCTTAATTTTTTTCATAACGTGATTTTTTTTAATAGAAAGTGAACTGCGATTGTATATTATCGGTAGAGTGACTTGTTTACTACCACGCACACACGTATTCAACAGTTTTCTTGTACGACGACTCATGATATCAGGTTATGAATTTGACAACTTAATTATTAACACTAAATTATAAGTTGTTTCATTCAAAGGATTTGTTCATCCTTTGGTATTTAGTTTTGAAAAATCTAGCTTTTATATCTTTGGTGTTAAGAAGAGGAATTTCAACACTGTCATTTGTTTATTTTTTTATATAAAATACTTATATATGATTAATATCTACTAATAAATGTATCCATCCATCAGTCTTTCTATTTATTTATCTAACTATTGATCTAACATCTGTGTAACTATCTATTCATATTTTATGTTTTCACGATTAACTAACCAAGATCATTTATACATACATCTAGCGTTTTCATAAACTATATGAATATTATAGGTTTCTGTGATATTTTTATATAACAACACTCAACTATTTCATGAGTAAACCATTATAGAAATTATTGCCGAGAAAATGTTCTATTATATAACGTTATACTATAAATGTGATGTAAACTTCACGCAAAGAATTTCAAGTAAGCAGTTCTGTTTTAACCCTAATAAAGCTACGTTTTGCTGTACATTTTTTCATGTCAGTTTTACTTTGGTGGCAATGAACGGAAACTTAAATACTAGCATTTAAATTTTAAGCATTCCTAGTTTGTAAATATGATAAATAAAATAACATTGTACGCGTAACAAATCTCATTAAACACCGGCATGGTTCAACGAATTTTTAAGTAATTACTTGATTGCTTTATTAGTGTGTTTCAGGTTTTTTTTTGTTTTTTGTTTAGATATGTAGATGCAACCGATCAACCGTATTTCACTAATTTTAATGAACTGCTTGGTGCTTCAAATTGTGCATGTGAGTTGTAAAATCTTAGATAAATTACACAGAAACGTCCATTCTGTTACCGAATGTCTGCACTTCGTTTTTATCTTATAAGTGATCTATATCCAAGGAAATGTACGTGTATTTCCTTTATTTAGTACAGCTTCAAACCACGAGTATCTCACCACTAATTATTCTCCCTGACAAGAAACAAGTTAATATTTTTTTACAATACACGTACAAAGAATCTAAAATCATTAGATTTTTATGTTATCTCTCTTTAAAGTGTAAGTTGTGGCAAAATGATAATAGATCGGGATATTCAGCCATGTTATAATGAAATCTTTAACATTAGCAATGCCCTGTTGGGTGAGCTCATTCTATATCAAAATCTGTATGGAATACTCTTATGTCATTTCCGGTCAATCTATACGAGTATATCTGTTTCTTACCCTTATATCATTTCCGGTCAACCTATACGATTATATCTACTTCTTACCCTTATGTCATTTCCGTTCAACCTATATGAGTATATCTACTTCTTACCCTTATGTCATTTCCGGTCAACCGATACGAGTATATCTACTTCTTACCCTTATGTCATTTCCGGTCAACCCATACGAGTATATCTACTCATTACCCTTATGTCATTTCCGATCAACCCATACGAGTATATCTACTTCTTACCCTTATGTCATTTCCTGTCAACCCATACGAGTATATCTACTTCTTACCCTTATGTCATTTCCGGTCAACCCATACGAGTATATCTACTTCTTACCCTTATGTCATTTCCGTTCAACCTATATGAGTATATCTACTTCTTACCCTTATGTCATTTCCGGTCAACCTATACAAGTATATCTACTTCTGAATATATAAAAAGATAATGTATACGAGCATCAAGGAAACGTTTGCTACACTAAACTCCCAAGTATTAATCAAATCAATTAAGCCTTTTACAACTGCTTAAGTCTCTGGCTGGTAGAATTTTTAATTTGTTTAGTCGCGGGCGGAGTATAATTGCTAGTCGCCATTAGGTTTAGTTGATCAAAGAAGACAACTCTTAAAGAAAAGATGAAAATTTCGTGCTAAATCTCCTGTAGCAACTGAGTCTTAAGTGAATTTTATCTTTATAGTCGCCGGTAGATTTCAGTTGCTTAAATGATGTGCTCAGAAATAAAAGTTTCTTAGGATAATAGAAACGCTCCTAATATTTCTTGTATTGGAGTATAATTCTAGCTTATTCTTACTAATGTTTTTCAAACTAGAATTTCATTTTCTTAAGTAACTGCAACTGATCTCAAGCGTTGTAAATGATCATGTTTTGAACGTGTTTTGATCAATAAGTTGTCATGTAAGTGATCATGTTTTGAACGTGTTTTGATCAATAAGTTGTCATGTAAGTGATCATGTTTTGAACGTGTTTTGATCAATAAGTTGTCATGTAAGTGATCATGTTTTTAATGTGTTTTGATCAATAAGTTGTCATGTAAGTGTTCATGTTTTGTCAAAGTAATCAGCAGTTTCGTTTGTTGTTTTTTTGAAATTGTTGAAAATTGTAGATAAAGTTATGATATACAAATATTAAATAATGTAAGTGCGTAGACTGGTAAACTTTCATCTCTGGTGTGAGGCTGAGTAGAACAAATATAAACTTTAAACGTCACTCTCTTAACTAACACATACAGAACAAGAGAACAGTAGACCCAGAGTAGCCAAGTGTATTATAATGAGCTCACTTGGTGATCATGACACAGTGATATAAAATTATGTAAACGTATACTTTTATGCTTTAGATTTATTTTAGCTAAATCTAAAGATTCACACTGTAATCATAATCTGTCTTCAAAACAATGTTTCATCCCTAAAATTGCTTTACATTATAGTACTTGTGTTGATCGTCTTCTTTTGACAGTTTTGTCCTAGTCAGAGTAATAAACATGTTGGGTTTAAAATATCAATTAGCAGTGTGATTGTCCTAGTCAGAGTAATAAACATTTGGGTTTAAAATATCAATAAGCAGTGTGATTGTCCTAGTCAGAGTAATAAACATTTGGGTTTAAAATATCAATAAGCAGTGTGATTGTCCTAGTCAGAGTAATAAACATTTTGAGTTTAAAGTATCAATAAGCAGTGGGATTGTCCTAGTCAGAGTAATAAACATTTGGGTTTAAAATATCAATAAGCAGTGTGATTGTCCTAGTCAGAGTAATAAACATTTGGGTTTAAAATATCAATAAACAGTGTGATTGTCCTAGTCAGAGTAATAAACATTTGGGTTTAAAATATCAATAAACAGTGTGATTGTCCTAGTCAGAGTAATAAACATTTGGGTTTAAAATATCAATAAGCAGTGTGATTGAACACGTTAAAGAGACACCATATTTTAATCTAATCAGTTCAATTAATTTCGTGTTATCGGTTAAGATTAAATAAAAGCAACAGCACGGATAATTTTGGAATCCGACTAAACGGGTGAATAAAGCACCTTATAATTTTACAAGCTAACATATTATCTTTACTACGAAGTTCTGAAATTTTAAATGCTATACTTTTCATTGTATGTTTGGGAACTCTAGCACTAAATCTGCAGGAACTATTCCATTCCGGAACTTATTAACAACTATTACGAACATTTCTGTTTATTAAGATAAAAAAATAAACTATGACCAAAATATTAAAATATTCAAGATCGTCAAACTCAGGATATTGTTCTATTAAGAAAATATTTTGTAAGAAGCATTTATACACCCCCTCCCTCCATAGAAAAACAAACTTATAATCACCACGGAAAGTTATAATAATAGAGAACAGCGGTGGAATTAGAGACGAAAAACTCCCTAGTTCGACAACATTCATCTTATAGATATGTTCAACTTCAATTGACGCGAACAGCCACCCCTCTAGTTTTAAAGACAAAAGTATCTGAGAAAAACAAAAACACCTTAGTGTTAAATGATTCTGTAATAAAACTAAGCTCAGTACGTGAAAATAATGCGTTTACAGTATAAAGATATGATCCAAGGTGATCGTTTTAAAAGCTAAAATCTTACACCTAAAATTACTAGGGATCGACGTTACCAGGTCTAGCATTCTGACCATTGTACTTATAATGCAGAAGCTAGAAATAAAGAAATGCAGATATTTTGCATCTTAAATAACAGTATCTTAAATAATATTTCAATAAGCCCAAGCAAATAGTTAATCGTAATACACAACGACATATTTAAATGCTTACGGAGTCCATTAACTCTCACATCTGCCTAATATTTGGGAAACTGAATGCACGAAACTGTGATAAAATGTGGACATAATCTATTAGTGTTTATCATTATTTTTTACACTTACTAGCAAATTTCTAACTCGACAACATAAAGGCAATGAGCGCACCTCTTTAGGAAACATCGGAAGTAGTCTAATTCGATTTATAGTGTCTAAACACAAAATGAATATCACTAACGGCATGGTATTAAAAAGTGGGTTTTTTTATCACAAACAGTATTCTAAGATGATTGGCTACTTAGTCATTTTTTTACTTAATTGAAGATATAACAATTTAACGGAAACTAAAAACGATGTTCACTCACGGTTTGTTTTCTCCATCGCGTTAGATATGGATATAAATGTTCGGCAGCAACATATCCAAATCATCACCCAGCTTCCCCATCCTATCTCTCCTAATACCTGCTGCTTCCGCTAGGTGTCGCTCGAACCTGGTGAGCTTTGGTGGGTTTGGCAGCATGCCTTACGTCACGATGATAGAGACTGTGAGTTATTGGTGGGGCCGGCGGTCCACTTAATTCTGGTCATTATCATAATCATCGGCTTTATTTCCCTCTACTAGAGTGAGTCAGGCCAGGACTACGCCACTGTTGACCGCATAACTCAACTTGAAAGCAGGCTTTGTTCATACGGCAGCTCACCAGTTGCCGGCCTTTCACATCATTTCCACGTGCTATCGGAAAGCACACGGGGTCTCGTGCATATCTTAACCAGAGCTAGACTGCTGCTGTCAACACATGATACCCTATTTATTAACAGAGTCGAACTTCTTCGACCCTCTGAATGGAATTCCAGTTACAAGTTTCTGAGTGAACCCACACCTCGAAGTACCGCAGGTGTATCGAAATTATTGTCTTCAGGCCCAGTTTTACCTGTGACAAAAAACTGTTTTATCTTCATAAAATATGACTGTTGAGATTTATACGAATAACGTAATGGCTCTGTTTCAATCCTTAATGATAATGGTTCGAGATTATTATTCCAAACCAATATTCAGCACCCCAAGTAACAAACTCTTTTTTTACACATCTTACTAATAATTGAATAGAGATTTACTGCGAGAAAACTACGATATATAGCTTTCAGCGACTTTAAATACAAATTACTTAAGTCTATTATACACAAGCTTTACAATCTATCTGTCAGTCGTTGATGAGGAAAGAAAAATACTGACGATTGAACACTCGGTTATTGCAGGAAGGCTATAACGAAAATACATTAAACCTATATACTCAGAGAGTATTCCGAAATTTCGGGTGCATTACGGCAGTGAAACTAACACAATATATTACTGGTTATTGTGTAAGTACAACTTCCACTGTTTAAAAGAAGAAAGTGACTGTCAGTGAACATTAAACAATCGAACAGAATCTTATATCGTGACAGTTTTGTTTCTGAGGTATGAATGGACCTACAAAGGCCGCGCACCCAAATTTTCTTAAAACCGTCGCTAAAGAGCCTAGTCTCACGAACTGATACATCCTTCGTGAAGAACCAAGCTGAAAAAATGTTACATCCAGTAGATTCAGAAGAGCGCCAGAAAGCTGCTTCAGGAAGTAGCGTGACCTTTGACCAGACGGGCAGCGCTTTCCGAGTAGTTACTCCGAAACGACTAAAAGAAGGCAAGTAGTCGTTGTTTCGTATATATTCTTGAGTCTATAGCTTTAGTCTGTTTTCCTTGTATATATATATATATACATATGTATGTGTTTAACATACTGTTTGTATAACAAACGAATCGTTGGCTGCTGATATATGTTTTAACGGTTTCTGATTGATCAATACAATAAATTATCTGTAATCCTTATAGACGTTTGTTAAACGTAGTTGGAAAGATCGATAAGCATTTATTCTGCACAATCCCATGCAATCTCGGAGTTGATATGTGTGCCAACTTCATAACATTATTTGGCTCCCTAACGTAAAATAAAATCCTACTATCTTGTGAATGAATTATTCTTAAATACGTCAATCGTAACTGGTTATTATAATAATCCTCCCCTCTTCATACTAATCACATAAAATAGATAGGTGCAAAGGCATATAATATAGCCTGATCCGAATATATTTTATACTATATACTACAACGACGGTCATTTCCAGTGCTTAAAGAATATGCATGCTTGATAAATGTTATGTATCTAGAGATAAATTAAGCGCTGAAACATGAGACAGTTACAACGAATAACATGTTGGAACGGTTACAATGAATAAAATGACTGCCGTTTTAAGAATAAAATACTGTCAGGAAAATGAAAATTTGTAAATCGTTAAGGCAGCATATTTGTCGTGGTGAAGTGTTTTTCTTTATGGACCTTCTCTTTCCTAAAATTTCGTTAAAATGGCGACGTTTCGAACACTGTGCTGAGCTTTTCTTCGGGTCTGGATGTCTACGAGGTTCTTACGTTACCAGTCTTGCAGAAGAACTCATTCCAGGGTTCGAAACATCATTATCTCAAAGACATTTTTGGAAAGAGGAGATCCATAAAGAAAACCGCTCTATCGTAGTTATGGTATTTCTTTTCAAGTTCCTTTACTCAAGAAACCGCAAATTTGGCTACCTAAGTTCATTTCTCAAAATTATACTTAAATTACGATACTACAAAGTATGAAAAGTATTTCCAGCTAGATGTCATTGTGACCGGAGGATTAAAATTGACGATTCGGTCACGAATAGCTTTCATAATAAAAAATTGAAACAAATGAAAAGGCGAAACTGTATACAGTCGAAATGACCTAGCTTCAAACGAACTAACATTTAGCTCTTTCGCGTCTCGGTAAGTACTTTTTGACTGACAAATGGTTCGATAACATAGCCAGTGGTTAGTATTTTTTGCTTTTTTAAATCAGAAAATTATCTTTAGCTTAGTTTTGTGTACGTAATTTTTGTTACGTCTGCTGAGCAAACTTATTATTTATTTAATTTTTTTTTCAACTTGCGGTTTTTCATTACTTAATTATTTAAATCTTTATTTTTCTTGCTTGTTTTAATAGCCAAAAATGCTTAAAACTACTCTGCACACGTTTTAAATTAAAAAATAAGTATCTAAAAGCTGAAACAAGCATAAACACAAAACACGGTTTGTACAACAATTTTCTGTTGTGGTCGTAACTGATTTGTTAGAAATACAAATCAGTTGAAAGGTAGTTGTTGTGTTGTTACATAACATGACATAATTTTATACCATAAACGTACAGTTTCCCCCACCATTTAATAGAGTAACAAATGGAGCAAAATATTAAAATGATAGTCGTATTTGAATGATACTGTCAAATTTTTATCGTGTTATCTTGTCTGATACTATAATAGAAACAAAATCTTATAATATACCACTATATAGAACACTATTTACTTAAGGCAAAATGTGTGTTCTTCCTTAACAACGAGTTAGATTTTTCCTGAGCAGGTAAAATGGATTAGTGATTTTTTTTTTTTAATTACAAGTGTTAGCTAAAACTGTATGACAACACAGATAATCAAATAATGTTTTTAAAATAACATGTTTCCTTCATAATTTTATATATCCCAAAATATCATTTCTTTGCCTTTATTTAATTAAATTATCTTTCTTCGCGGCACTGTATTTCAAAATACATTCTTCGACTGCAAATAACTCAACATATATTCTTCACATTGTTCTATTCCAAAAATCCGCTCTTTATCTCTTTATGATTTAAAACACTTTCTTCAGGTTATATTTCACAATCCATTCTTTACCTGATTACAACTAACTCAATATAGAACTAGATCTCAACAACTCTTCATAAAGATACGTCTTCATAATTCATCATAAAGCGACACCTCGACAAAGAATCATCAAGAGATGTCTTAAAACTTATCACAAAGCTACTCATGAATAGCTCAACACACAGCTACACCTCAGTATGTCAATGTAAAGATATCTATACACAATTCTCATTGATTCATATATTGCTACATTTCAACAGCTCATCATGTAGCTATATCTCAACAACTCGATCCATAGCTACATTTAAACTGCTCATCATGTAGCTATATCTCAACAACTCAATCCGTAGCTACATTTCAACAGCTCATCATGTAGCTATATCTCAACAACTCGATCCATAGCTACATTTAAACTGCTCATCATGTAGCTATATCTCAACAACTCGATCCATAGCTACATTTCAACAGCTCATCATGTAGCTATATCTCAACAACTCAATCCATAGCTACATTTCAACAGCTCATCATGTAGTTATATCTCAACAACTCAATCCATAGCTACATTTCAACAGCTCATCATGTAGTTATATCTCAACAACTCAATCCATAGCTACATTTCAACAGCTCATCATGTAGTTATATCTCAACAACTCAATCCATAGCTACATTTCAACAGCTCATCATGTAGCTACACCTCAAATCTTCATTACATTGTTACATCTAAGCAATTAATTATAGAGCTACGTCTTCATAAACCATTATATAAATATATCTCAAAACGTATGATATAGTTACATTTCAATAAGTCTTTACATGGTTATATCCAAAAACTCGTCATATAGCTGCGTTTCCACAATGTATCACGTTGTTATATCCTAACAACTTATCATAGAGCTACATCTCATCTTCACACAGATATATCTCAACAGCTCATCATTTAATTATAGATTTCGAGAACTTATCACACAGTTACATCTCAACAGCTCAGCATATACACTCCTACAACCAATCACGTACGTATACATCTCAACAACGTCACACGGTCATATTGCAACAATTTTTCAAAAACCACGTAAACAGTGCTTTAACCTAAACTATGCGTAAAGCACAAAATGAACTTTTAAAACTTAAATTTGCAATAGTAGTTACATACATAAATGTACTTTACTCTAAACCATTATATACAATAATAGTTAATAATAAAATGTTTCTTATTTGTTTGTGTTTTAGCAAGCCACATTGGGCTATCCGCTGTGTTTACCGTGAGGGAATCGTACCCCGGATTTTAGGGTTGTAAGTTCGTAAACTTACTTGCTGTCCCACCGGGGGACAAAATGCTTCTCCATCAGATGAAGTTAGCGCAATAAAGACAAATATAGCGGGACAAAATAATGATCTGGGAAATGTCTGAAAGTTAGACGTGTGGATTATTGTTAATTGTTACATGTTCTGTTGAGGAAATTGAGGTGCATTTAGAATTATCATGTACCTTTTAGTCAATTCTAAAATTCGCAGAATAGTTTACCAACAACATATAAGAAACACAGATACAATAAAAATTCAATGGTTGCTTAATATCAGTTTGTATCATAACAAGAACAAATATATTACGATCTACGTGCATTTTTTGTGTTAAGTTTTTGCAATAATTAGATGCAGAGGAAATGTATTTTCCCTATCGTTCGTTTGTCTATTATTACAACAAAAAAGCAGGCCTTAGGCTTAGGTTCCCTTTCTGAAACAGCGCTTATAAGAGGTTTTTATAATAATTTTAACATATTTCCTTCAAAATCGTATTTCCATTGTATAAATGTTTGAGCTCAAACATTATGTTTCTAAAAAAAATGGTAAAAAATAACGAGTGCGCTAATCAGTAATCCTTCTTTTCTGCCGAAAGTGATAATAATAAGCCTCTTCTAGTTTTACCAAACACCGAACTCGATTTCAGTCAGAAAAAAACAATTAAAGACAAAATCTATTGTTATTAATTTGATAATACTACTTTGATACGAGATACGTTACATGTGCCTGCATTCATATGTAAACTTCACAAGATAAAAATCTAGGAACACGTAGAAACTGAATAATCCAAATTAATAAGCTTACTAGTCATGTTACAGAAGAAAAAAAGAGAGAAATAGCTAATCTTAAATACTGCTATGTATTACTTTCTTTACGGTGAAGGGGTCTGGCATGACCTGGTGGTTATACAGGGAACTTGACTAACAATCTGCGTGTTGCGAGTTTGAATCCCGTCAGCGAATGTGCTCGCTCTTTCAGCCGTGACGATCAATTCCACTTTTCGTTGGCAAAAGAGCAGCCCAAGAGTTAGCGGAGGTTGGTGTTGACTAGCTGTTTTCCCTGTAGTCTACCACTTTAAAATTAGGGGCGCATAGTGCAGATAGTCCTCGTGTAGTTTTGCCCTAGATTCAAAAACAAACATACAAACTTTACGGTGAAAATTTTCCATTTGTTAGTGCATTACAATTAGACAACACTTTATCTCGTGATTGAAAAGATTCAGTTTCTCTTTATTCCCTCATTTTACAGTTACTCGTTTAAAGCTTATTTTTATTCTTATTACTGTAAATTAAGTACTTAACTCTAAAAATAATTTTGAAAAATGGCCAATCAAATTCTACAAGATATTCATTGCGACTTATTCTTATTGGTTACACTTCAAACAGCCAATGAAAATCTATGTTTGATAGGTTCACGAGGTAAGTAGTTCTGTACTTTTCTGTAGATAAGAATACCAGTACACTTTACGGTTTTCTGAAAAGTACATTATTATTGCAAAGATAAAATCCTCCTTTTTTACATGTTTTCCTCTCTTTCAAACAAAATTCTTGATATTTAGATTGCAAGCAAAGAATACGTTGCTTTGAGATACACGATGAAGACAAATGACAATAAATAATTGATATTAGCTGA